GTGTGTGTGTGTGTGTGTGTGTGTGTGTGTGTGTGTGTGTGTGCCAAAGCATAAACAATACAAATGAAGAGTTCCACCACCTAATTTTCATTTTTGGTTCTATGTGTTCTTTGCCCTCAAGGGTTCTTTTTCTTTGTATACATTGTGGCTCTCATACAAGAATTAACTGTGTCTCTTTGAGCAATTTGAATTATTATAAGGTGACTGAATAAAGACAAGAAATCCAGTTAAGGCACACAAAGAGAGAAGAAGGCATGCTCACTGACGCCCCTATTTTGTACTGATCCAGTGATGAAGATAGTAAAAAATAGTACCCAAGAAATGATCCTCCTGTCTGAGTAATGTAAACCTAAAGTTCTGTGAAATTACAGAGCCTTTTAAAATGAATACAAAATTTAAAAAAAATAATATTATGGAACAGCACATTGTTAGTTTTGTTTGGTCCAGGGGATCTTTTGACAGTAAGAAAAATCTCTCCATGCGCATACAAAAAACAAATAAACCATAGTATTATTCTCCTATTTTCTTCCAGTAAATCCACTAGTAGTCAGCAATATATATATCTAGCTGTTATCTCTTTCCAGGTGAGCTGTGTGACATTGACATTGATGAATGTGCAAGCCAACCCTGTCAGAATGGTGGCTGGTGTGAAGACAGCAGAGCGTCCTACATCTGCCACTGTCCTGAGGCAGAACCAGGTGAACTTCCTTGGGGAGGATATCACTGCGATGTGAGACTCCATGGCTGTGTGGACCATGAATGCCAGAATGGAGCCACCTGTCATCCACGGCTGGAGAGTGGAGAACACAATCACATATGCTTGTGTCCTCATGGCTTCTATGATGAGCAGTGCTCCACAAGTACAACATTCTCCTTCTCCACTCCAGGATTCATTCACATTCAGATTGCTCTAAAAGAAAGGAGCCGAAGGGAAGTTGAGCACCATGTTCAAATAGGTTTCGAGGTACAGCTACGTTTTAGGACCACTATACCCAATATGTTGTTCATCTACAGAGGGGATGTGGACAACCACCTTATCCTAGAGATTGTGAATGGTGGTCTTAGGGCTAAAGCTTTTTCTGAGGAATCGTATCTGGATGTGACATTTCCAGGCTTGGTTAATGACGGGGCCTGGTGGGATGCTCATGTTCGTCTTGATAATCAAGGTCTAATTCTGATTATAAAAGGCCCTGGATGTGACAATGATGGGTGTAGGGTTATGGATAGCACACATGAATTACCTTTCCAGCCCTCTGAAGCCTTCACTAACATTTATATAGGTGGAGCACCAAAGGAGCTTTTGGAGGGCTTTGCAAGTGATGTGGGATTCATTGGATGTATGGAAGACCTAATGATAGACTCTAAGCTTATCCTACCCCAAACACTACCAGAGGACCAAGGCCACGAGCTGGGCTGCAGTAAGAATGAATGGTGTAAGCCTGATCCCTGCTATGGGCATGGACGTTGTGTGGACCTGTGGACCAGCTACCAGTGTGAGTGTTACCGTCCCTTCCACAGTGAGAGCTGCTCTAAAGGTAAGCACTGGTACAACCACCAAATTCTTTAAAACCTTAAAGTTACTTAAAAGTTAT